CATCGTGACGTAGATATGTGGGGGCATGTTAGAACGAGCCGTTTTAGGTAGGAATGGTTGACTCTTAACTTTTATAAAGAATATCTCTTTGGATTTGAGACTTTAGTCTTTGCAACTTTACAGATCTTCTTTATGCACCAAGAGCTTGTAACACTCCAAAGAGAAAGGAAAAATTGAAATCGCATCATGTGACCCCTTTAACCTGGAGCGTAAAGCAAGACAAGGAAAACTGATGTACGTTTTAAAGGACAATGATGGTCAAGATACTTCGGATCCTGTGGTGATGCGCAGGCTTGCTGTGGATTTTTATTCTAATGTATTTACTGCCGAAGCCATTGATGAGCAAAGCAGAAATGAACTGCTACAGGATGTTTCTACTTTAACTTCAACGCATAAAATACTTTTGGAGGCTGATCTTAAGTTTGAAGAGGTTACTGCTGCTGTAAAGGGTCTCTCTTCAGGAAGAGCACCAGGGATAGATGGACTGTCTTCTGATTTTTTAAAGAAATTTGGGAATATATTAGGACCTGAGCATCAGTAAGTGTATTCTCCCTGTGAGTTGTCAACGGGCTGTCTTAACTCTGTTACCAAAAAAGGGAGATTTAACCCTTTTAAAAAACTGGAGGCCAGTAGCAATTTTGTGTTCCGAATATAAAATTTTGTCTAAATGTTTGTCAAATAGACTAAACAATGTGTTACATACAATCATTCATAAAGATTAATCATACTGTGTAAAAGGAAGATCTATTTTAGATAATTTACATTTAGTGCGAGATATTTATAACTTTGTTCTTAACAATAATATTAACCTTGGCTTCCTGTCATTAGACCAAAAAAGGCTTTTGACTGAGTTGACCACAATTTTCTTTTTGAAACGTTATAGGCTTTTGGTTTTAGAGACAAATTTATTTCTATGATTAAGCTTCTCTATAATCAGGCCACATGTATGATAAAAATGGTTGGTGGTCTCAGTGGTCCTGTTAATGTCCATAGAGGTATTAGGCAAGGTTGTCCTCTTTCAGGTCAACTCTACAGCATAGTCATTGATCCTCTGTGACTACGAAGCCAGTTAACAGGTTTAAGGGTTGCTGAACTAGATTCTCAAGAGCCTATTAAGATTTCTGCGTATGCTGATGATGTTACAGTTTTAGTCAAAGGTCATGCTGATGTTCACTACTTAAAAGACACTCTAGAACATTATGTTAAAGCATCCTCAGCTAAGGTGAACTGGATTAAAAGCAATGCTCTGTGGTGTGGTCAGAATTCTAATGGTCCTATGCTTCCGGGTGATTTGCAGTGGGGAAGAACAGGTTTCAAATATCTAGGTTTTTTTTAGGCACAGGTGAATTTAAGAGACAAAACTGGGAGGGCCTTGTGGAGAAAGTGTGCAAGGTTGTCTCACTGGAAATGGTTGCTACCCCATCTGTCCTACAGAGGGAGATTCCTGATCTGTAATAACTTGGTGGCCTCATCCCTCTCGCATAAAATTATGATTGTAGAGCCTCCGAAGGACCTGGTGGTAAGGATTCAGAAGCAGATGGTGGACTTTTTCTGGTCAGGGCAGCACTGTCGACATCGGATACATCGGATACAGCACTGTCGACATCGGATACAGAGTTGAAGCCTTTAGACTTCAGACAGCTCAGAGACTGCTTTACGGGGAGGATGTAAGCTGAACTGGTAGCCTGTGCTCTTCTGAGGAAAACAGGTAGTATGGGGCTGGATCTTCACCTGTTTCTAATGAACATTAATAAGTTGGATCTGACTGGTTTAACATCCTTTTACAGGTCAGTGTTAAGAGCGTGGTAACATTTTAAGTTCTCAAGAGAAGTCAATGGTGTACAGAGACTCTGGCTGAGGGAGGAACCATTGCTCTTCAACTCTGCAATGGACCTGGATATTTTTAAATCCGATTCTCTCAGAAAAGCTTTGTGGTTTGCAAAGATCACAAAAATTGGACATTTGATTCATGAGGGAGGATGGATATCTGTTGAGGCTTTAGCCTTAAAACTGGGCATGAGGTCAGTTCGAGTGGCAGAGGGACTGTTAACTCAAACACGTGAGTTTTTACCAGTGGACTATAGATTGGATTTAGAGGCTTCAGACATGGATAATTCTGCATTCCCGGAGCTGACTATTTCAGCTGACACAGGAGAGTGGCAGGAAACAGAGGGTGGACTGCTCTCTTTCAGATCATCTCAGCCTAGTCTTTTCAGTGATCCAGAAAAGAAGGCTTTATATGTACGGTGTTAAAGTGGCACATTTCCACATGCTTGAAAACCACATGCTGTTTTTGGTTCAGGCGTTTCCCCTAAAGGCTGCTGGAGGACCCTGTACAAACCTCCCATTGAGAAAAGGTCTGGAGACCTTCAGTGGCGGGTAGTGCATGGTATAATAGCCACAAACAGACACAGAGCACACATTGATCCACAGGTAGGAGAGAAGTGTCCTTTTTGTGGGGTACAAGAAACAGTGTTTCACTTATTTCTTGATTGTTTTAGACTACAACTGTTTTTTTCATCAACTAGAAGAATACTGTCAAACTCTGGGGGAGGTTTTTACGCCTATGCTTTTTATTTATGGGCCTAAATACAGTATTGTAATTTTATTGAAGTATTATGTGAAAATGAAAGTAATCAATATATAAATTAATATGCTGAATTATGTTAACCCTGGATGTCATAGAACGAATAATAGTCTTTTCATTAGACAGTGAACCTTTCATTAGAAAGTACACCTGTGAACTTGAAATAATGTAACATTATTAGGAACACGTATAATGGTCTTTTCTTCCATTAGACAATGGATCTTTCAGTAGACAGTAGACGTAAACATGAAATAATCTAATATTATCAGGAGCAGGTGGATGGATGTGACGCACACATCTCGTATGACCACACTACCAACCAATGGAAGGTGGCAAAACAAAAGCAAGTAGATAAATTTGACACACATCTCGTATGACCACACTACCAACCAATGAAATAAAAGCCTTTTTTTAAAAATGGCTGATCGGACCACATTCCACCATTAAAAAACAAGGCCAAAAGAGTTGGAAACAATTGGGGCAAATCAGGTATCTATAACCAATAAAAAATAACCGGAACAAAGAAAAAACAGAAAATGACCAAATTTGGAGAGAACAAGGGGTATATAATATGAGTTGATAAACAAAGACTTTGGAATGATTTGGAATGCTGTGACTGTCTTCCCGGCTTTGTTTCTTTGTTAAATAAAGTCTTATTTTGACATCTGGAACTCTGCTTCTCCACTTCATTGGCTGCACCCAAGAAAAATCCACAACAACAGCAGGAGCAAAATGCAAGCTCATGTTTTATAACATTTTATATTTGAGCAAGCAAAATTGGCTATTTGGCTGTCACGTAAAAGAAAACTACTTGGATCGGGTTTGACTGATGTTATTTTGGTGTTTAAGGGAATAATAAAATCGTATTAATATAGAGCATGCGTATTATATGTTGATTGATGACTTGGATAGTTTTAGATTTAATGGGGTATAAATCAATGTATTTGTGAAATTGATTATGATGGTTGCTTGCAAATTTCTGTCTGAGTGATGAAAGATTGTAAAACTGTTGTTTCTGATGTGTGCATTTATTCATGTAAATGTTTTATATTATTCCATTTTATTTTGCTTTAATATTTCAATAATGTTTATCTAAAATTACTGGTAAATAAAGAGATTGTTAAAAGTCAAAAGTCTCTTTCTCTCTCTCTCTCTCTCTCTCTCTGCTATAGAATTAACAGGGAACTTGAACTCGAAGCTCCCAATGCTGATCTTGAAGAAGCTCAAGTAGACCTTCAAAGGTTCAACCCTTCACAGGTAATGTTGAAGACATTTAGTTATAACTGATTTGCTTTAATGAACGCATCCTTATAGTATGTGTTAATCAAATAGTTGACTGAACTTTACTGCAGTTACATTTTGCACAGCATTTGATGTTTCTTAAACTTTTGTTTACATACCCCACGGCCCCATCAGGAAAACCCCCCAGAAAAGTGGCATGTTGAAGTAATAATAATTCATACAATTGACCAAGTCTGCAAATTCATATGATATTGCACAAGCATACTCATACAAAATTCTACGACTTTTACTCCTACTGCTGTCATTGGCCATTGCCTCAACTCCCAAGCAGATTGTGCCCATTGTAAGAGTGTTTATATCATAAAATTTATATTAAGTCCATTGTATTCTTTATTAATCTTTACAAATTGGTGCCGTCTCTTCCTGCTCCAACAGTACGGGATATCTGTCCACACCTCACAGTCTGCCATTCTTTCCATGTTGATTTTTATTGAACACATCTGTTTTAGAAGCAAGAGTCTGGAAATGCTAGTTTAACTTGTCGCGTGTTACAAATCAGATCTTCAATTAATTTGGCCAAATCAGATCACTTAAAGCTGTTCACACCAAGAGCAATAACTATAATGAGAAGTATTTTAGCAACCACACCAACAGACGATACTGTTCTGTTTATTATAAGCATGCGCTGTGGTTATGTTGTCTGGTATTTAAATGCTCAAGCTCTTTAAAGTCTGGTGGATTCTGATTGGCTGTCAATGTTTTTATTGTTCATCAGCTGGGAAAAAAACTGTTCTGAAAGAGATTCCAACAATATTGTTCCTCTGTGTCATTAAATGTTAACTCTTAAATGTTCCTTTCATTCTCTTAAAATTACACACAGAATTCTGTCTTTCTCTGCCTATTTCTCTTCATCTTATTCCTTTACTCCCTCACTCACACATTATTTTATGCTCTGTTGTAAGGTAGAAACTGAGAGTTTGCATGATGGCCTTTTCTCAGAGTCTGAATCTGATGTGTACAGATGAACTCAGGAGTCTGCTAGAGTTGCCAGGGAACTTGAGCTTGAAGTATATAATTATAACTGCTTAATTTATATGTTTAAACAACAATAATAATTAAACATGGGGTCAATAAATATTTTCTTGTTTTACAGCTGAAGACCAAAAACACAAAGAAAATCAGGCTGATGAATGAGGAATGAACATGGCCTTCTTGTGCACAAACAGAAAAGACAGAGAGCTGAAAAGTTGCACATTTCCATTGGTATGTCTATATTCAATGCAGTTATGTGTGGTACAGCATTGTTGTTGATCTCTCAAAAGACTCTTCAAGTCAGCAGTTATCATTTTTCGCATATACATATTTTTATAGCTCCTAGAATGAGCAAATCAGCTGTGCATCATCTCTGGGATTTGGGAAGGAAATGACTGAATATGGTGAGTACTGACACCTGCACCTGTATTCACCAACACCATTTCTCTAGAGTTAATGTTGACTTATTGTTTTGTCTGTTTGTTTGAAGAAAGATGAAGCCAGTTGATGAAGATATAAATTCAATGGCCACCAAGTGCCGCACTGCTGCCTGAACCCATCAGTTATCTGCTGTGAAGACTGCATTCGCAAACAGCTCTACTGCGACAGCTCAGATGTTATGGCCATAAAAGTAAACTTCACAACTGAAGTTGTGGAGGGATTCTTTTGGCCCATACCTCCAACAAGAATCAATGGTAAGTCCAGTGCAACAATTAGAAATAAAAATACTATATATTGTTTATTGATTTACCACACCCTAAATACATGTTTTGTCCCTCCAGGACATCTACAGCAGGTGGTGTGTGAGGAGGACCGTCAGAGACTCCAGCCACCCGAACCATGGATTGCTCTCACTGTCACCATCAGGCAGATGTTATCACAGAACCTGCACCAGCAGACAGCGAGACAAGTTCTTTCCACAGGCGATCAAACTGTACTGAACTCATACCAGTAACACCACACAGAACACCCCACCAACCTCATATACACTGCACTCTATCAGTTACGCTGACCTCATTATTATTCTGCACCCTGACATTCTGTTTGCACTAATTCATACCGTGCTGCACTGCAAACATATACGTGTACTGTGATTATTATTGTTTTCATTTCATGCTCTCTGTATAGCATAATATTTACCATATATTGTTCTTTACCTGTATTGAGGCCCTTATATATGTGTGTTGCATATATATTCAGTATTTGTATTTCATATATAAGAGTTTGGTTCCAAAACGCGATAAACACCTTTTTTTTTTTTTTGAGTTTCCACCAAAATCAGTATTGTGTCTCAGTATTGTATTGAAAAGTCAAATTTTAATTTTATGCAAAATGCGATATCCGCTGAGTTATTCTGTCATGTTTTCTCCCTTTTTTTTTCCAAAACGCGACAAACGCCAGTCTCCCTTCTTTGCAGAATGCGATATATCCGCTCAACCAATCACATCGCACCATTCCACGCACTGTAGACAGTAATGGCAGCGCTTTGAATACACCCAGCATCCTAGTTTTCATAATCTATTTTATACTTTGTGATCAACAAACAAACTTAGGGCTGCACGATAAATTGCATGTGATTGTCATGCACATCTCGTCAGTAAAGCCGGTTCTGTGAATAGTAAATCTCCATCACGTGCTTTCCGATGAAGTGGCATTTAATACACAGAGCCATAGATCACTGCTATATCGCGTTCATAATCGCAGATGAGTCACATTCGATTATGAACGTGATATTGCGTAGCTTGTCAGTGTAAGTGTTTTTATTAATGCCATTAATGTTTTTGTTAATACAGCGTAGGCTATAGCACTAATCAACTAAATAAATGTAACATGGCAAAGATGAATTCACTTTTGGAAGTTGAATGTAAGGGAAATGTCATTTTGGAATTTCTGTGGTTTAATGTGATATTGTTGTTCATGTATGTTCATGATGAAATTTTCTTTTATTGTTGTAATTCATTTATAGCATTAACAAGATGACCCGTTGAAATTATTTTGGGAGCGATGACTGATTGAATGCATTTTTAGTCCAGTGCCTGCATATAAGATTAGTATTGACCAAGTTCAGAGGCTGTCATATGTGGATCAACTTACTTTGTTGTGTATTTTCAACAGTTTCAATATGAAAAATAACCTTTATATTGATTCAATGGATTTATTGCATTTTGAAGAAAAAAAAGTGTCATGGATTTATTGCATTTTGGGAAAAAAATAATTTTATAATAAATCTTTGAAAATCAAAATCTGGATTTGAATTTTTAATGTTATTATAACCTAAAGATGCTATGTGAAAGTTTGAAACAGAAAATAGTGGTTTTCATCTTGCCACTTTCTTGGTAAAGAAAACACATTTTTACTCAAACTCTTCATTTAGTCATTCATTTGTCATCCATACTGTCTAGAGGTGGAAAGTAACTAATTACAAATAATTTCGTTATAGTACTTAAGTACATTTTTAAATGTTTTCTACTTTCTTGAGTATAATTAAATTGTGGTACTTTTACTTTTACTTGAGTAAAATAAAACTTAAGTATTCAACTTCGCTACATTTATTTTTCACCAAAAGTACAAAGTACAAAGAAAAAAAAATAGACAAGGTGCCGATGGAGAAACAGAGCGAGCCGGCGTTTGACCGGCACTTTTCAAACTGCTGGGGTGGAGCCCTGCGCTTCAGCCAATAACAGACAGGTCTGACTCGGGTGTAAAACCAATCAAAACTTCCAGTTCCGCTGCGGGGGCGGGGCGTTCAAACTTTGCTTTGACTGTCAATCACCGGCGTTGTCGTTTTGAATCAGCATAGCATTTCAATATTTTAGTGAATGTGATTTTAAATCGTCATTTTGTCAGCTCCTGAAATGGGTCATACCGTTGATATTACCAGAGCACACAGCAGTATAAGTAAATAGAAAACTCGGTTGATAGAATTATTGCATGGATGGAGCAAGAACAATGTTTCTAAAATACATGCACACAGTTCAACTGAATAGTAAAAATCGCCCTCTTTAACAGTGCAGTTAAACTAAGGCCCAATCCCAATTCTACACCTTAGCCCTTCCCCTGTAGGTGTGTCTCAATTCTCTTTTGCCTGGAGGGGTCGGGGTAGGGGAAGGGCCAGACAGCCCTTCAAACGAAGATTTTTCGGGACCACACTTCAAGGGGTATGAATTATCTCAGCATAAACCGGCTTCAGGGGCAACATGGCTGCCCGAGCGAACAAAAAGACACATGAATGTAAGCATTTTGGCATTAATAAAGATTTTAACGAAAGTAATAATTTGTTTTATGTTAAATTCAATCGTGAGTTCATATTTACGGTCATGTTACTCAAAGAAATGTTTGCAAAAAATCGCTAATATTTGCTAACTAACGTCATATCATTATAGACTGCACGATAGTGCCACAACATATTTTCATGTCTGATCAGGGCAATAACCACTGTTGACATTGAGGGGGGCTAGTCCCACCAATAATTAGAAATCGCTAAACCCTTTTCTCAAATATTGCCAATTCGAGAGCGAGACAGAAAGAGAGAGAGAGAGATGAAAGTTGCGTGTATGCGCGTTGTCCTTTTTAGAGTGAGTTTACTTAAAAAACAGCGATTTTATCCTCTCTTTGCTGGAAAATATAATGTAGCGATTCAGTATTTAAACTGTTATTAATAAAAGTCATGAAGCAGCGTTGACAAGTTTATTTTCTCCTAGACATGTGAGCTGTGCGATCTCCGATATATGTGTGTGTGTGTGTGTCTGTGTGTGTGTCAGTAAGCAGCGCATTAATATAGAACGGTAATTAAAGGCTCTATTGCACACCAGCACACCAGTATAGGTGTGTGTATTGTAGGAGCTAGTCGACGTATGATGACGTGTGACGGCATAGTAGTGGTGTCCCAATTCTTAGGGGACACTCTGTTTCAAGGGACAAGGGGAAGGGGTAGGTGGCGGGGTAGGGGAAGGGGTATAAAATAGAATTGGGATTGGGCCTAAATGTACGAAGCTAAAATAACCTCAACATTAACAACAACACTGAAATAAGAGCGCATGCATTTTTATGTGCATCTGGCTGATAGATAGTAGACTGGACCGTGTTTTGCACCTCATGTGTCTTTCTGTGTTTCCTTATTTGTTCATTTTCCTGTCCTTGTTTAGTTTAATTATGAATCCGTTCAGCTGTGTTCTATTAATTACCCTTGTATTTAAGTTCCTGCCTGTTCAGTTTCCCTTTTGTCTGGTCTACTCGTTACATGGATGTGTGTCCTGCTGTCTCCTGTGTTTATGTACCCTGTGTTTCATGGATTAAAGACTGTTTTGTATATTCTTCGTCTCCTCGCTCCTTAGTTCCGGTTATCCTCGTGTGTGTGTCATGACAGAAGACCAGACCAAGACAGTAAGCGGAGCCCCTTCTCCTGTGTTTTTATTTCCGTTTTTTGTCATCTTTTATTTTCCCTTTTCTTCTCCCTATGAGAAGTATGAGGACCACCTCGCTGTGAAACGAGCAGGGCGCGCCGTTGACATGCCCGCCAGCCGCACCGAAGACAAGCCCGCCGGCCGCTCAGAAGTCAAGTTCGCCGGCCGTGCCGTTGTCATGCTCGCTCCAGTGTCGGCTCCAGCACCAGAGCTCCCTCCAGTGAGGGCTCCTGCTTCCGAGTATAGCCCACGGAGGGCTCCTGTTCCCGAGTATAGCCCACGGAGGGCTCCAGATCCCCAGTTAAGCCCAGGGAGGGCTCCAGATCCTCCGTTAAGCCCAGGGAGGGCTCCAGTCCCCTGTCATGGCCCACGGAGGGCCTCGGAACCTGTAAGCATCCCCAAGTATTTTTTTTGGGGGGGGGGGGGGTAGTAGGGCTCCAAACGTAGGGGCCGGGGCGGGGGCTGGGGCCAGGCTGCTTTGCCATGGCCTCCTGAACTACCTGCTCTGCCATGCCAGATCCGCTATGGCGCCCAGAGCTTCCAGATCCGCCATGGATCCCGGAATGGGTGCCGCCCTGGAGGCCTTCCGTCCGGTAACCCTGCTCATAGAGGCCTCCAGAGTGCCCCCCCCTCCCCATTGAATGTTGTACGGCGCGAGATGTAGGGCTGTAGTACTTGAGTCCGGTCTCGAGACATTTTTCTATCGTCTCGGACTTGTCTCGGACTCCTTGGTGTTTGCACTCGGACTTGGTCATTGGACTCGCCAAATGTTCTCGTTGGTCTCGACCGAGTCCAGCAATATGCTTTTTTCTCCTTCAAAACAAAACCACATTTGCATGTCGCGCCTGAAAACGCGTGGAAAACGCTAGGCGCGCCGCTTTCTCCTTCTTTCCAAAGCACTCTGTAGCTTGTGCTCTATGCTTGCGCTCCCGTGGCGTCTGTCGTTGCTTAGCAACTGTGACCTGCGCTCTCCATGAAGATGCGGAAGTGTCAGCAAAGGATAAATGGATTTGCAGCACTAAAAACCCCTTGCAGTAGCTCTGCTACTAAATTTATTTTAAAAAATAGCTATCCTTGTACAGCTATGATCAGCTGTTTCTGCGTCTTGGCTGCTTTCAATTT